TCCTTTAGGGTTGGCAGGTGAAACAGGACGAAATAGGCTTTTGCCAGAACTATTTAACGGAGTTAGGCCTAGCTCAAAGAAGGTTAACTTTAAGGCGATACCCACAAGTATGATAGATGGACAGAGAACCCAGACTTTGAGCGGAGGGAGCCCGATAACGGGTAGATACAAGGAGGGAGACTCCAGAAACGGGTGTGGTGATGATAGCTTTATAGGTGAAAGAGTTTTCTGGGGAAAGAGGCAGGGCACTCGGTGTCAAGTCGGGTGGGAATACTTGTAGTACAAGTGTTTCCAGCATAGGAAGTAAAGAGGGGTGAGGTCGGCGGTGTGTAGACGGTTCATGGTAGAAAGTAGTCAAGTGAGAAAAAGATTTAAGCGGTAGGCTAACTGTGACCCACTGCACTTGCGCAAACAGCCACACAGGACAATGAAGGCCACGGTGACGCACCCCACATTAAGAATTCAGGACACGTAAAATTGAGTCACCCCTAGCTCCCTTATCAGGAGTTAAGGTTGCCCCAAGCATGCACAACAGGCAGCAACTACTCAAGTAGAAGAAAATTCACCCCACCCCAGCTTTCCACTACAGACACACAAATTGACTCCAATTGTCGAATCAACACATTACCCCCGCACTCGGGCAGGGACCGGTACTGGAGCACAGATATGCCTGTATCCCGTAGTCGAGTTTCCCAACCTGCAATAACAAAAAGCCCAGACAGTGGCTTCGCACGAGCCCTAGAAAACCTCCTCTCCATGTGGCAAATGCAGTTTGGCAACTTGTCAGTGCCTCCCTCTCGCTTTGATATGATGTCAGGACCCGGTAAACTTTTACCTTCAAGCTTCCAAGAAGGTGATAGTCCTGTCCTGTGGGTATTGGAGGCTGTGGGAACTTTCGCGTTCACAGTGAGTGTCGGCGACTCCAACAAACCTGACCGTTTGTCCCCGATGGATTTTTTGGACCTTTTGTTGTTTATTAGAGGGCTAGTTGTTCCTTCGCTCCTGTATATGTTCGATCGCCGGATACAGCGAAATCTCCAATAGTTTCAGTAGCTCGAGAGCCACTCAAAGGTGGGAATAAGGGGAACATGGAGGGAGGGAGAGGAGGGTTTCACATATCATAGGAAACCCTGCCGCTGCAGCATGAAACCGAGTGATACCACATGACGGCAAACTGAGGGCAAAAATCTGCGTACAGTTGCATACATTGAGAACAAACTGAGGAATATAATCTTAAATACGTAACAGCTACTACTCCGAGCCAATTTCATTAGTAAAGGATGACAAAATCTACTCCTTTGTGTAGTAGATTTTCGGAGCCCTTGCACTCCCCATATCCTCTCCAATTCCCCGGGTATTTCTCTTGTCTTCAACACATCTGCACCAAATTTTTCTCCTCCGGATTAGCAGTGTTGTCCTACCATTAACTCCTCCTTTCTGGGCATAACCCTCCCCCCACCCTACCGGATCCTCCTCTAAAACTTGCTCCTATTAGGTTGGTATACCACTGCAATGCGTATATTTGTCGTATCCACGATCGAAAGAATTCACTGCAAACAACAGTTGTTCCCTCCCTTGCATTCTAGGACTAAGTCTAGCCGCGACTTCGCCATAGGGAAAACGCGAAGGGAAAAAAACACAAGAAAAGGTATCATGGACAAATATCCTGCTCAAACGAGAAAAAAAAAACAGCCGTACAGGATCAAAATTTATATTTATATCTAAATAGACCGAGGAGGGATGCCTTGCCAATACCAATCACTGACTCGGAAATCTCTGATAAAATGGGAGCATGCCTAGAAGAAAAGGAAGGATGTAAGTGAGAAATGCTAAAAGACAAACGAAAGAGGCAATGATAGAATACCAGTCGATAGCAAACAAGAGGGTTGATGGGGTGTTGGGGTGGATGATAGTTTTCACGGGAGGGTATCTGAAGCTCAGGGGCAGCGTGAGCGGTTGGATTGAGGGGAGGTTGCTATCTGCGGACTCGGAAACAGAGTCCTGGAGGCCCTGTGCCCCCTCTTGCTCATCCAGGTCTGCCAACCGGAGCGCATGTCGGGCGTTAAGGTTTGTGGGGTTGGTGTTAGGCCCATCGCCTTTGAATCGCATCTTTACCGCACCCCCGCCTTCATGTCCAAAGGAGGGTGGGAGAGATACCGGACCACCTTAATCTGTAGTGTTGGGATTGTCATTTTTTCGGCCCCCTAAGATCCCCTCAGCACCAAGATGTCCTTTCGAGAATTCGGGCTATGGCGGTGTTTGGTCCCCGGCTGTCTGGCGTGGCGGTGCATACAAATATCTTTCCATTCCAAGAGCATCCCTACCACGCCCTCGCGCTCGCTCCTGCTGGCCCACAAGAGTCGCGTCTGGCCATAGTGGGTGCCTTACGAATTGGGATTGATATCCTCTCGTTCCAAAAGAATATAATTATTACCCCCCCTCATGCCCGAGCTCAGCCGCCCACGAGAGTGGCATCTAGCAATGTGTGGTGTCTGGCGTATCGGGATTGATACTGTATCAACTCGTTCTAAAAGCATCTTGACTACCCCATCATATCCGTACCCAGCTGCCCATGAGAGCGGTGTGCGGCCATATTCGAGTCTGCCATATTAGGATTTACGCCGTCTCACTCCGAAAGTACTTGTACTAGCCTATGGAATAATCCCAACAGCTGATGTTGTGGCCATGTCAGGCATAGAGTAGTCTACTCGAGTAGTCTATCTATCAGTTGGAAAGGCATGAGCGGTTGCTATCGCATGAGAGTGTGGAAGAGGGCATTGCCCTAAGTGTTTGAGTGTGCACTATCATCATAATTTACCTCTTGGCATGCATATATTTTCTGTATGATATCTACGGAGGTATAATAGCCCCTAAATACCCCCGTAAAGGTGACCATCTTCCTATCATACATGGTTCCGCTCAAGACAAAATCAACCGAAATGTGGTGGAAAAGGTGGGCCCAGGAAAAAGGTAATACATACTTCAAAGCTGTAAATATTTAAATTCCAGAGAGACTACTACATTGTGGTCGGAAGGTGTATCTACAATGCGTATATCCCCTAGAGAATCACAATTGCAATTATTATTGGGAACACAATAAACTTTTAAAAAACTGGGAAATTCCCAGCAGGTAGGTCCTTGCTTGGTAACGTTCTCAAATCGTGATCTTGGATCAAGATTTGGGGAAAAGATTTTATCTCTGGGGGTGTTTGACAAACGCGATTTGGATCTTGAATCGCGATTTGCAAACCAAATCATGCATTGAAGATCATGGGGTGGCGATACAACTTCAAAATCTTGATTTGAACATGTGATTTGATTTGGGGTTTGATCGTACAATTTAGATGATAATATATTATGTAAATATTTAGGGTTAGGTGGATAATAAAATTTATATCAGTGCGACACGGGTTTTTTTGTTTCACATCTCTGAGCCAAGAAAAACAATTGCGTGATAACATGTTAAGTGACCCAAATCACAATCCAAACCATGATCAGGTTAGGGGGGGGGGTGCTTGGCAAAGCGCGATTTTGAATTGCAATTTAAAAAAAATGATGATTTCAGGGTTTAAAGACCTAATCTCAAACCACAAAATCACGATTTTAAATCCAAAATTAATCATAATTGCCGAACACCCCCCTAAAATTCTGAATTGAAGATTTAGGGCAATGACTGTTTCGTCTGTACCATTTGGGTACTTTATTAAATGGCAAGGGCTATGATAATATTCTTATCATGACAATGTCATGAGAGCCAGATAGAATGTTTCATATAGTCTAGGGAAATCGCAGTCGATATGCCCTACTTCTTTACTCGACTCCCCAGAGCTAACCCCAAATCATGATTTGAAAATCAATAGTGTTTAGCAGAGGCGCAATTTGCAAATCATGATTTCAAATTGCGGCTATCACGTTCTCAAATCACAGCGAACCAAACGGGTCCTAAGATATCCAGAGATAAGTGCTTGGCAGAAGCCCATACCCGGTCTTGCTGCCCTACCTTCAATTGATCCACTTCGTATCATAGTCCCACCGTGCCAAAATAAAAGGGCATAGGTGAAGGCCAGAGTATCGGCAAGTCCCAGGAGCCCTTTTTTGTGAGGGCCCTCTTCGCACATTCGATGCCAATTACATCTCCCTTATTGCTGGGGAAACAGACAATGAGTCCCGGAACTGGTCATAATGTACAGGGAGATAGTCTAACTTAATACTTCCACTTCTATTCAAATGGATTCCCAATGCAAACCATCCAGCATCACGAATCCATAAGTTAACAGCCAAAACCCGCGTCGGAGATGAGCGCTTAAAAATATCAGCCGAACGGCATGGGCTAAAGACAAGTGATTGGGCCGGATATAGAGGCGCGTTGATTGAGATAAGCTAAGCACCTGGGGCCGATCGAAAGCAAGGACAGGACTACTGTAGCCAACGGCCCGCGCGAATCGCAGCTCATCTGCCGAGCTCTCTCCTTTATATCTGCGACTCGTTCGGGTTTTCATTTGCCGTACCCTCTCAGTTCGAACCCTCTTTTCACGCCGGATCACACGGAGTAGACACGAGGTACAAAGTGGGTGATTTGGTTTGCGGTATTGGACATAGTTGCCCCTCCCCTCCCCGAACCCTCAATTTCAAAGAAAAAAACACTGCACGCCCGGGGCAGCTCCGACCCGAGTCCCATATCGTGAATCGGGGCCTCCCGACCTCGATGTGGATCAACCGGGCTCCAGTGTCACATTGTTGGCGTATCTAAGTCAAAGTTCATATTTGGCCGGATGTCTTCGTAGTAAACTATGTGTTTTATCCAGCAATGTGATGAAAATTAGATTTTGGGTTATCATATCTCCTGCGGTTTTCAAACGGCCTCTCCTGCCAGCCTGAAAGAGCTAGGCCACCTAAATAGCAATTCTAGAGATCCCATACTTGTGTATAAATAACCTTTGCCCTCTCACCATAAATGGCCGGATCTCTCCCAAAGGCGATCCCACGCTAGTGGCTTTCTCTCTCTCGTTAACTAGCAGTGTAAATATTCCAGAACTCCTATACCTACGATAGCGATCTCGCCCCAGGCGTATATATATGGCCCGTCGCCCCCCTAAACTCAAGTCTGATAAAATGTACCTCCGAAAAACAAGCCCCCGCCCAAACTTCATAGCCGTCGAACAAACAAAATCTCACCCCCTCCCCTAAGCAAGCGAATGTCTCTCCTGCCTCCCCCAGAACAACGGTTCCCCCGGGATTCCATAAACCCATACTGTCCCAAACACTACACCATAGACTCCAAAAATTAATCATAGCGCACCCAACGGCCAGATTGTTCATAGCCCGCGACTCAGCCCCCACCCCCGCCCCACCGGAACGGCCGGCCTATCTATTCATTCATCAGCATCTTCTCTCCCTACCTCTTGAAGACAACCCCCCGGGAGTAATCACGGATACGCACCCGTCAGATCCGCCCGAACGTTACTCTCCTCAAACTCCGTTGGTATGTCATAGTCTATCTCCGAGCGAAACATGATAGCCCCCGAATCCCGGCTCACCTGGGCCCTGGGCCTCTTGGCTGGCCTCGCAAGACTCCGCTTCGTCTCCGCAGGCGGGTAGTACGAAACCGGGATTTTTCTTGTGGACCGCCTGAGGGCCGGCTTTGGTGTTTCGGCTGTTGGTGCGGAATCATGATTGGACGTATCCCGGTCACCTCGCCGAGCCGGCGGATTTGTCTCTGGAGTGTCCGCCACTCGCTCTTTCCCCTTGCGAGTAGCGGCTGGCTGCGGGGGGGTGAAAACCCCGTTCGTCTCCTCGTATGGAGCTTTAGGTATTCGGTTTCCACACGCCGATCTCCGTGCTCGTGTCCCGCGGACGGGAGTAAATGCACTTTTCTCGGACTCTTGCGCAGAGACTCTTGTCTGAGCCCGCGAGCGTGTATTTCTCGCCCCAGACGCCCTCACAGGGAGCGTATCATTCGGGCACGTCACATGCTCAGCTGAATCCATAGCTTGAGCGACACCATCGGTCATTTTCGGCGTGCTCACGCCTTCGCGCGCCTCCCCACGCGCCCCGATCTCGCCAGGAAATCTAGCGGAATCAGCCACCATACTTTACCCCCCATCAAGAAAAAATAAAACTAGAGGTGACAAACCGCACGACGATGCACTCGTATATTTCTTCATCTTTCCTGTCGGTGCTATCGACTTGCTTTCTTTGACTCCGCTGCTTTCGCCGGCTAGGGGCGATATTCCTTTTTATACGACTCATGGGGGGGAAGGAAAACTCTGCTTGTGGGAATGGCGATGTGGTGATGTGTTGTGGTGGTGAGGTGAGGTGGTGTTTTGATTTCAGCGTGAGGTGGCTTCAAGCACGGCAGATCATCGCCATGGGTATAGACCCAATAGATAGGGGTTCGGTTGGCGCTCGCTTGGGTAAAATGGTGAGTCAGAAAGTTAGAAAGGCGTTGTTCGACAGGGAATAAGATAAGTTACTTCTGAGCCTATGAAAAAATCTCGCCGGTGTGGGGGGTTTCTGGGGCTGCGTTGTTTTCCTTTCTCGAGCGGCCCCAGCTTGATAACGGGGTGGTGGTATGTAGAGCTGAATTCTGATAGGTGGTGAGATTCAGCACAGGTAACTGGTTAGCCGCTGGTACCTGCGTCCCCCCACAAAGTGTGAGGGACTGATTGCTCTACTACCCAGGACCAACTCAAATGCCATACTTTGTCAATGATAGGGTTATTGGGCTGATTAGAGCAAGACCCACCCTACCCCGCACTCTGCTAGCACTCTGCTGCATGTACCTAAGGAAGATGGGGACGCCATTTGCCAAATAGTCGGACCACCCCCAGGATTGTGTTTGGGAAATTCAAAATAAGGAGACTCCTCATTCACGCCTTAGTAATAGCATTCAACCTTTATAACTGCTTCCAAATACTCGACCAATATTATAGCGAGCACTTTATGGAATTGACTCGCCGCTGCGGTAGTGAGAGCTTCCCTCTCCTGCTAAGGCGAGCCAGGGGTCATGCGCTATTCTGGAAACAAGCCAGAAACAACCAAATCAACTGGGGTTGGAGCACACTAAAAACTGGAATAATTGAGAATGACGCTAGGACGTCCAGAATTTCCTCCTTAGGATTACTATAAGGGTGAAAAGGAAGCAAAAAGAACCTCTTTCAGTCTTCAGGTGAGACAAGTAAAAAGAAAAAATGGAGCGGACATAACTAATCAGAGGAGGCAACCTCAACGTCCTCTTCTAAGATTCTCAATTATGGGGAAGTGGACGCTGACTCGCCGGGAGGTATACCCATAATCAAGATCTCCAACGGGTCGCCAGCTATATATATAGCCCCTTAAACTCCAACCCTCACCAAATAAGGTTCCTCTGAGCCATCACCTAAAACCGATAGAATCCGCTCAAATGGTAAAATATCAAAACTCGGAGCCACAGCATACAGGGAGGGCATGAGGTTAGCGGCTCACGAGCTCTCCGGCCAGCAACTGAGCGAGTGGTTCGTCGTCTCAAAACACGACTTGACATACCCGAAGTGCTTGGGATATCCTCGTTTTAAAAACGGTTTTTGCATTTACAAGACCACGCTAAAAGGTGTTGGTGCCACGTCAAAGGACATATCACCAAGCCGAATTCCCGGCACAGAGCGGTTTTCAAACGCATTTTGAAATTTTTTCTTCCCAGACCGCTCGGCAGCGGGTCGGTTTCAAGACGTAGTCTTCAAATTTTAGTAAACGCGTTTTGAGATGACGAACTGCTCAATCGATGGCGACCCTAACAGCCCCTGGGTTTTTTAGATGATAAGGTAGGATGCTTGAAAGCGTATTCAGGGAAACCTATGGCCCGATTTGGTGCGCCCGGACTAGCTAGGATTTGGACCTCAAGTCCGAACATCAGAAGAAAAATCCCAAAACTTGAAAGCCTAGACTCACACCAGGATCTAGATGTAGACTTTCGTTAACCTTTGATCGTTTTCGTAACAGATATGAGGATAAGGAGAAGGAAAAATACTCCGATATCATAGTAGGTTTGTGGAAAGTTTTTCTCCAGGGTTAAGCAGGGGTTCGAAAGTCCGGGCTAGAAATTATGATCCACTCTAAGCCCAGATCAAAACGCGGATTTTGAAGTCCAAAACCGGGGTGGGCGGTCAAACTATGCCTGAAGCTTTCCAAGGAGAGATCACAGTGGGGAGAAAGCTGTACAGGTGGCTGGACATTGGACACACACACACCTTATCGGTTTTGTCGAAGGACTACAAGGGTTTTTCACAAAAACAGCGGATGCATGGAACGTTTGGTAATCGGAAGCTTCGCACGATCGCGAAAGTTCTGGTAGTTTCGAGTGATCAAAGGTGACCTCACGCGTGAACTTCAGTCCTGGAGGCCTGGAGAGGACCAAGTTGCACCTTGCGCCAAATTTTAGGAGATACTTCCTAGGTATTTTACCAAAAGACCAAGTTCTCAAAATAATTTTATCCGCCTTCGCACCTAACTTAGCACATAAAAAATTACTCATCTTGCTCTCAACAACGCATCGTGAGGTGCTTCCGAAGACGTCACAAGAAAAACCTTGATCCAGAATACGGCAATGATATTCACCATTCAGCTTTTCAGTGTATCGTACACTATGCTATCCCACCAAGACAATCGAAATTGAAAAAAGAAAAGAAAAATGGATTCCAAAGAAAATAACTACCCAGGCTATCAACTCGTTCATATCATAAAGAAACACCAGGCGTATAGAAATGAAGAGGGCATACATATCACGACCAGTGAAAAAATGATGAAACGAAATAATACTAAAACACGCTCGAATAGGAAAAAGGCCCGGGAAAACAAGAGCCAGAGCCACGACACAAAAGCTTTTACCTCCAGTGATGAAAGATGAAAGGGGGAAGACAAGAAACCAACATCGTATCATCTCACAACCAAGCGGCAACCGCCATCGCTGCCCATATGGCCCATCCAAATCTTGGATCATCATCATCATGGGGCCCAGTACGAAGAGCGATCTCTCGCCCTTCCCCTGTCCCCGCCATAATGACTACTGCGTCTACCAACCCCCGCCCCGCCCCCGGGCTGCGCGCGTCGGTCCCTGTCATACTCATCCTGATAGGCGTACTCGGCCACCCTCCTATCATCCCTCTCCCCCCGCCCCCGCGGCGGCCCCGCAAACTCATCATATCTGTCACAATTTATAAGCATCAGGTTCGTTATGTAAAGGAAAATAGAGAATGGAGAAAAGAGGGGTTATACTCGTATGCATCGGCAGGGGGTTCATAGCGCCCAGGGGGCCCATACCCGCGGAGAAGCTCCTCCTGCTGACGTGCAACTCGGGCAACTTCATCTGCCTTGCGCTGGGCACGAGGCCGTCGGTCTTGAGCGTCTAGGGGAGGTGGGGCGGGAGTGGCACCTGGTATGGGGACACCAGCGTCGGGGGCACTGGTGGGGGTTTGGGCAGATACCCCACTCGACCCAGACCACTCTGGGTCATGCTCATCCGCAGGAGATCGGTCGCGCCGACCGCCACCGCGGTGGTGGGAGTGGGAGTGTCGATGAGGGTGAGGGCGGCGATATTCGGAACGCTCTCGTTGATGGCCACGACGGGTTGACTTACTCCGGAGTGGAGCCTCGGGTAAATCCGACAAATCCCGTGGGTCTCGCGTCTCCCTTGGGTCTCTAGGATCTCTCGGATCTCTAGGGTCACGGGGGTCTCTATCGGGGCTTGGTTTCGCGTATGGTTCTTCTCGGAACTCTCGAGCATCTCGTGATGAATGATGGCCATGAGAGGTATGCGGGCGAGATGGTGGTGGAGGGCCGTTCCGTGTCGAGGATGCTTTGTCTTCACCGAGAGTAGGACGAGGGTTTAGTTCTTCTTTCCATCCAGGATTCCCGGTACTAGATGCATAGGGCTTACGGTGTCTTTCCATCGGAGGAGGTTTATCCTTTCCGCTCTCAATAAATGCATCCAACTCATCATCATTCATATCCTGTGGGTTAGGCGGATATTTCTGTTGGGTTTTCTTCCTGGCCATTGGTGTGGCGGTGGCGTAATCGGCTCCCGATAGGGGACCGTGGAGCGGAGGAGGCCCGTAGTATCTGTTACCATTACTATCGCCTGGCGCCGGTAGAGCCAAAGGAGCTTGCTCCTCCTCTTCGTCTTCAAAATCAGGCGGAAACTCTTCCCATACTCGCCACCATCCCTGGAAAATCACCGAGTCCTCCTTCTCGGGGAAACAGCATCTTGGAATGGATTTCGGGAATCTCCGACCCTCCTTCGTGTCGTGAATCGGCCACGATGCCACGACTTTCTGTATCCGAGCCGCCTCACGCGAAGGGTGAGTCATGAGCTGAGTAAACATCCATGTTTCAAAACCCTGAGGAGTCAGAGCCGGAATAGTGGGCTTCTGCTCACGACTGATGGGGACATAAAAGTGCTCGCAGCCCAAGACCCTATAAATGGAAGATAAGGAGGAGTCTGTCCGGTTGGTGAAGTAACCTAGGTTAGAGAAGCGGGTTAACAAATGCCTTCACAAGGTATCGGGAAACCGGTATATATCAACCTTTCCAATTCATATGATCGTCGCCATCCACAGCATTTACCGCATAAAAATCGACCATCTTTTCAGGAGTGATGACGATGCTCCCTGCTGGCGTTCGTTCTTTGATCTACCAGAAGTTAACCCGAAATATATGGCATGGCGCAGAGATAAACTTACGATATAATTTGCAATTTCCCGGAACAAACGCACCAACTTCTCCTTCGGCATTGGCTCCTTTCCGTGCCCATGATCAACCAAATCTCCCCACGTTTCATAATGAATATTTCCATCTTCCATTTTCGTGGGTTTAGCAGCGGGACCAGAAGAAGTCGAGGTTGGCGGCGTTGATGCGTGGCTGTGATGAGTTGAGGTAGTATTTGACCTATATCGCTGGGTAGCCTCGCGACGCGGGTTGTCGTTCTGTCGTTGCTGCATCTGGGGGTGACTAGGGCCTAGCGGTGGGCCCTTAAGGTCAACTGGGGGTGGAGCCGACGAAGCGGAACTGGCAGGCACCGGTTGCGGTGGAAAGTACCCTTGCTGCGGAGGGTATCCTTGTGGCTGTTGCTGCTGTTGCTGTCGCCATTGGTGGTGAGGGACCTGCGGGGGTTCCTGTGGGGCAGGAGCTGGAGCGTAGGAAGGAAAAGAACCGGGAATTGGCATTTGGGGGGGCTGTTGCTGCTGCTGCGTCGGCGGCGGTTGTGGCGGTGGTCCCATACTGGGGGCTTGTACCCCCCCAGGCGGGGCGGGGTGATCGAGTCTTGGGGGAGGCCCGACAGGAGCAACTGTCGGCGGTGGTATCTTAGATTGCTGGATACTCCTCATCAAGTCGGCTGCAAGTTTCTGTACTACTTCCGGTGGCACTCCATGACTGCTCGCAATATGTGGAATATCCGAAGCGTATCCCGCAGATGGTGCCGGTGGTGCTGGAGCAGCCGGGGCTTGGGTATAGTAATTTCTCGGTTGTTGGGGTTGTTGTTGCGGGCTCCCGTAATCGGATGTTGCTTGCTGTGGTTGCTGTTGCTGAGGGTGGTAGCCCTGTTGGGATTGTTGCTGCTGCGGCGGAAACTGCTGGTAATAACCATTGGGCCCTGCAGAGAGTGGGGGGCCAAAGCTAGAGCCGGGGTACGGCGCAGTCGTGTGCGGTCTCGGTGGAGCTTGCTGCGGAGGTGAGGGGGGATAACCGTGGGCGGAGTCCGGAGAAGTCGCTACATAAGATGATTGCTGGTGCTGGTGCTGCGGGGGTGGGGCTCCATGATTGGTGTGCAACGGCTGTTGCGGCTGGTGGGCATAAAAAGGTGAGGAGGGCTGGGCTCCGTAAGAGCTTGACATCTTCACCGTGGCGACGCCCGATGGCTGGGAGAGCTATCACGATATGGAAGATTGCTGGGCAGGGGCTAAAGGAGTGATCACAATGCTCCAAATATCAGTTAGGAGGTTGAAATGTTAAACCAAAGCCTGTCGGATATAATCAAACCATCCGCTACCTAGGGGGCAGTGATAAGATAGGAGGAAGAAAGGGAAGGGGAGTAAGTGAAGGGGAGTAAGTGAAGGGGAGTAAGGTATAAAAATAAAAATGCTCGCAGTGAGAAGACGAGGCCAAAGGTGTGAAGAGGGGAGAAGGGGAAAGGGACGGAAGGAGGGGATGGAAGGGGAGAAGTAGGAGGGAGGGGAGGGGAAGTTGGACCGGGAAACAGGAAAAATAGTACAGCGCAGTGGGTAGGCGATGACTGTCGGCGAAGGTGCTTCCTACATTCAATCCACTGATTGGAAAGAAATGATCTTTGCGATTGGGGCCATGAAAAAAGGAAAGAGATGATAGTATCTCGCATTGGTATGCGGAGTTTCCTCTGGTCTGGCGGCGTCTTTATTTTTATTATTATTATTTTTATTTTTATTTTACTTTCCCCTCTGCCACTGATGGTGATGTTGGTGCAGATGCTTGTTGCTCTGCCACACGCTTTTTCTTTTCTTTTTTCCTTCTCCCTCCCTTCCTCGTTCATTCCACTCACACCCTTTTTGCTCTCAATTCAAAAGCTCACTCGTTCACCGTATTTCTCCTTAATCCACCCCCTCACCAAAACCCCTTCGACGTGCAGCGTGACGTGGTTTATCACTACTGAAGGAAAACAATTCCCCGAGTACGTGTGATGACTAACATTCGCAATATTTTATCAAATTGGGACCGTTATTTCTCCATCGGATCCATGCTCGAACAGTTGCAGCCAAAGATATGTTTGCACTCGGGCAACGTAAATAAATGGCTTGCTTCATCTAATGAGTGGAAAGGAAGCATGGCAAGGCTTTGATCAAAGGAGGGGAAAGCGAAGGGGGAGGAGAAGACGAAGAAGCATTCCATCATCATCAGCCGAGTGATTCCTTCCTAGCAACCGGCGACACGTAAAAAGGAAGGCACCAACAGATCCCTTCTCCCTCCTCAAGCACCCTCAGAACAGAGATGGTTTGTTGTCTGGCACTCTCTCTTTGGTAGCATCTATGCGAAGAGCCTCATTACAACTGCACGAACGAGAGAACCTTCTTCACAGCCCATACCGGTAGTTAATTTGAACTCTCTCCAGAATTATCATCGATGACTCTTCCGCAGCGCATACAGGATACGCCGCATGCTACCGACCTGAGCATGCTCCAAGAATGTACTCGTAGATACATAAGCCACTCGATGGATTCCCATCGGGACAGTTGGATAGCTTATGCTAAGTGAGAGTAACCCGTTATCGATACGTACGGTGACCGTGGCAATCGCCGCCAGCATCGGTATCATCCTGTACTTACAGTACGGTAAGCCTCGTAACTGGGGCATTCTTTAGCACGAAGGAGCGATTGCATTCGTGAGGTATCATAGCCTCAGACATCCTCAAGCAGCACTTCGTATTTGCTGCGTAAGAAGGCAGCCTCAAGAATATGGCTCTGTATGGTACTCGAGTACAAGTACAGTGCATTCCCTTCTCCATATTTATTACCTTGCAGCCAACCTGACCAGCTCCAACACCAGCATCTACTATCGCTTCCCCCGTCGTATCATACTCGAGTACGGTATTATCCCCACATCCTACTCGAGTACCGCCATCCAACTCATGGGAGCACTCATGTTGTAACACAACTAATTGCGTCTTCCAAAACATGATACCCCATCGAGATCGAATTGCCCTGCCTGTACTCGAGTACGAGTGCTCCTAAATCGCATCCACCGCACCCTCTCGCATCGTGACTGGAATAAATAAAGAAGCTGGGGGGAGGGAAATATCCCTCGTCGAATCAGATGGCGGCCCCCGTCCCACACCAATGATCGTGCATGCATTGCATAAACAACGAAATGGCCTCCCAGGACCAATTGCAGCGCCGAGATATTTCAAAGCACCAGCGCGCTGCTCGTTTCTAACCCCCGGGCTTTTGCTCACCCTAATGGCAGAACAGTCTACTCGTATTTGAGACTTCCGCACATTTTCTTTTTTTCCCCACTCTGTGTTTCCTTTATTAAATTTTTATTTTTAAGTTTGGGTTTATTCTACCGGTTTTGTGATTTGCTGCTCGAATTGTACTCGAGTGCTATTCGGTGGGAGGATTGTTTCTTTTTCGAGCGGGTCCCATCGAGGCGAGCGCTTGCCATCTCGGTCGGAATCTGAAAGAGCGGCCCGAGTGGTTGTGAGAGCACGCTAGGGAAAGGCGAGTGGTGAATGGTCGGGAATGCGTGCAATGGGAGGAAAGGAAGGTGTGGGGAAAGAATGCAAACAGGAGTGGTCGGCATGCCGAGACCCGAGTCCATCCCGCCGTCCCGGTACCATATCACCGTGACCCACGAGCACCCATTTCCCGGACTCACTATACCGGCACTCCACCCCAATATACCAAATACAGTATGCGCGTATTCCCCTTCACTCGGACCCTTCTAAATCCTCGGGCTGTATATTGCATACTCGAGTAGATCATCCACCCGCAAATACAAATAAACGAACCTCTAGTGTTTCATAGGACTCTGGAATCTTGCTCCGTGGCATTGCGAGGTTCCTTTCACCGTTAGTGGACACCCCTGGGACCGGTGAAATAGATTCAGCCGTATTCCCTCAATCGCCCCAGCAAACATCGCACTAATGACGGGCATGGGTGCGAAAAACCGCAGACAAACCCAACCCGCAAAGTGCCGAACTGCACCCCAAACACGGTAAACGACCCTCTACTCGAGTATGATACTCTTCCCCATCACCGAAAGTGAAAACTGAATTCGGCAGCAATACCGTAACCGGTACTCCCATGTCACTGCAACATCCCCGTCGATTCACAACTCCCTCTATGATACCACAGGAGCAGATGTGGGTCAAAACATTCATTTCCACATGCGCCTAACCCGCATTTTCCGCATAAAGGATCTCCTTACGATACTCGAGTATCACCTAGCTATCAATGTTGGCCCTGTACTCGTATAGGTACAAGTAACAAGTTACCTAAAACAACACCACGGGATTCACAGGAAAAGAAATATGTTGGCCCGTAACTGGAATTTCCCGAGCATAACCCTCAAGGGTTCAGTTCAGTCCAAGGACCAGACTTTGGCTAGTTTTGTTACCGTTGCGGTGGGCTGCCGTGGCGCGGGGTGTGACCTTCTTTAGCCCCGTTGGAGCCATGTGCTGCCACGGTTTGCGGGCAGCGCGCTCATAATGTGTCACTCGAGTATTGAATTTCTGCTGTTATCGCTCACCATCTTAGGTGGAGCGCGCGGCCCAAGAACTGTACTTAGGAGTTTAGGGTGTAGATTTGGGTGGAAGAGGTGGAGTGTTTTAAATATAATGCATTATAACTTTTAGTGCGCTCACTACGAGAGGTATCCCATGAATTATTGAAGTTAACGGCCGGCAAGTTTCAAGAAATGCCGGTGACATAAAATTACAAAAGTGCGACTGTTGTAGCATTTTAATAGCATTTTGGCGAATCGAATCGATGATCGTGAGTTCCCATGGCCAACAGCTTAGGGTACCCGGTACGGGTTTGAGCTACGAGCACACTTATTAATAGGATGTTCTCTGTTGAACTCCTTGTTTCAGTCCCTGCGGATTCCTTTGGCTAACTGTTTGAATGGATACAACAGAACTCCGGGAACTAGACCAATATATGTTCCGCATCAGAACTCCATAGAAGGAAAACCAGGCGTAGCGGAATAACACTGTGTCGAGGGTCCATCAAACCCGACTGAGGGAATATTCTAGTCTATCGCTCGAGCCAAAACTGTAGTCATGGCACCTTCCCGTATCGCAACAGCGTAGAAACAGGCAATTAATAAACCACAGGACAAAACAAAAATGACGAAAACCCCTCATAGAAGCGACCCACGCACGGGTAATCACGCCGGGGTAGGGCTGGTCGGTTGGTCACATCAGATCACCAGTCTCCGGGAATCTAGCATTGCTGACAAGAAGGCCCGGAGACTCCGTCGCCACCACCGAAAGGCGACTGTGTAATAGCATTCTCAAGGTTACAACCTACTCTATACGACACGCCTATTCCTTGTGCTCGGCGAGGTTGATTCTGAGCAGCCAATAATCCGGAGCATCCACGATCGTTACTGGACCACATGGGCGATTCCAAGAGGCGATGTCGTTTCAACCAACGATAATATTTCCAAGGCGCACCCGAACTGGCACTTCCGGGATCGATCATCGCTCGCGCGGCATGCACCACCCATATGCTTACACCATTCTAGGTAAGTGTGAATGAATACATGAGGTGAAAACGGAGGCCATCGGGGGGGGAGGCACCTGGTGCAGGATCAGTCAGACGGGAATCGACAAATCATAGATGGGAGCTGGGCTGAGGGGAATATATATGTTTGCCTTGCTTTTGCACATTGGCATTGCCGGGATAGATCGAAAGATTAATCTATCGATAGCACCAATCGAGTGCGGGGGGCGAAGGATACGAGTGACGAGTTGTGAGGGGTGGTGCACCAGGAATAGGACGGGAATCATCACCTAATCGCGTTGTTTGTTTTTGTTAGTTTTGTTGATCGTTTGGAAGGAGCAGATCCAAATACTTGCGATCGCATGGCAGTGTTTGGTGCCGCGATAGTGGCTAATCGAAACACTAGACAAAATGAAAAGACACCACACTGCTGCCCACACATGCGACAATACATTCCGAGTGACTTAAGATGATGCGCTTAGATTAGGAAATATGGGAAATGCTGTGAAGAATGAATAGCAATGGAACGTGAGAGTAGATGGATGTAGCAAACTCTGAATGAAGGTGTTAGTCCAGCACAAAATGCCACCGATATACAAAGGTAGTGAAATTGGCTGGAGAAAGAGGTCGCCGATGTCGGGGAAGGAAGTTCTAGAATCAACTCAACTCGAAATCAAGGAGGCAACTTCCCGGTGACGGGGGCTAAAACTAAAAATAAGTTGGGCACATACGAGGTGTTTTCGGAGCGGCTCATTATGGACCTATTTGGGGGGTTCTTTTTGAACACGAGAACACTCCTTTTAGGTATTGCAGAGGAACAAAGTTTTTCCTGTTAGGTATCATATCTGCTGTAACAATAGGGAAGTCTTGCCAATCCTAGAACCCAAGGAAAGGAGCATACCCCGATCCAAAAAAGAACCTGGGTCAAGGAAACTAAGCCCGAGGCTTTGGAAGGGTTGGGTGATAATGATAAACAATACACCCGACAACACACCCATAACCTGGGTCATGCTATCTGGACTTATATGATATGAGTAATATAATAATTGGCGTGTTATCACACCCTCTTCCTGTTGCGTTCATGGAGTCGGTGCGGGGAATCACCAGTTTTCCAGACGCACGGTACCCCTGGCAGGAGAAGGCTTATGGAACGAACCCCTGGCATTCCAGGAAAGGATCGCTTGGTAGGTTTATAAGATCCCTGAGAGACCTGCCTGGAGGTCTTTGCTTATATCGTGATAGTTGACCAGCTTAGTAGTAGGCAGTGTCGGTTCCAGCCTGTATTTCAAGCGAACGTGACCACGCACAGTCTGTCTCGTGATCTCACCTCTGCTTTAGGAGTACTATGAGATATCAGTATTCGTGCTTCCTACCCCAGGGGTTGGCCCATTCTTCGAAATGGTTCCCCCCGAGTTGGGAGATACCATACTTAAACACAGTCGAAGACCAACCTAGATAAGGACCGACTCACCCACCTTAGTCCAACCCAATAAAAACCCCTGTTACCCAGAAAACCCAATTTTGAAGGGTACAGTAGTTTCTGGAGCGCATCTACAAAGGGGGTTTACAAGCTACCTAGGGGGATTTGACTGTCAAGATAAGACACTTGCGTGGTTTTAGTATACCCCGGAGAGAGGTTTCGTCTGATTTAGTTTCCCCACACAATCCCGGCTGGAAGGCGAGCAATATTTTGCGAGCTGAACGGGTCGCGAATATCGGCACAGAGGGGGGCTCGGAGATGGGACATGGGTGAGCCTGGCGGAGTTCAAGGCCCGGGTGGTGTGATGGGGGAAGATGCCTGGGAGTGATGGTGTTGCCATTGGAAAGTTCTGCGGATCTAGGATGCTAGCCTTGTATTTCCTTTTTTTGAGGAATTTTCTAACATCTTTACTTCATGTTAGAACGGTAGGTGAAGGCAGAAACACTTAGACGAACTTTGGGTTGCATATGTTTTAGTATATTTACTCCCTTCTTTCCCGCATGATATTCTGGGTGGATTGATTCTTAGTACAGAGCTCCGGCAGGAAGGTTTGGAGGCGGGCTCACTGATATCTCCTCTACTATGATAAACCGCACAACGGAGAGCTTGCTCACGCTTGCTACAGCTAACTGGTAGGGAGCACTTGTGAGTGACCCCAATTTTAGGTTAAAAAATAGCCAGTGATAGGATATGACCCAGAGCTTTTTCGGGGGGAATCCAGATCTAGGATTACATTCTGCTTTCCCACGATTGTTGCGAATTTCAGTCGTAGTCTCAGGGTCGAATCTATCACCTATAGAGGGTACAACTGAAAATTCGGTTTATGAATACTTTACGAAAGTTGGCTGCAAACACCATCATCAGCTCTTATATTTGAATCCCTAGGAACGGTGATTATAGGCAAGTTTTCGGTCCCAGAAAGATCGACATTCGTGCTCTTAAGTTCAGTGGGTTGACCTCTAGTTAGATAGGGCCTGCCTAGATTCTGGATTCTCTAGCTAGCCTAGCACTACTTCAACTTACTCTGTGCCGACACAGCTATGGGCTTTGGAACTGGCCTTGTGGGCCAGAGGGGGGCTGCGTCATTTACCTATATTTTTCTACCTACCACACAAAGCACCAGACCGCCAGATACCAAAAAGCACTGCCATTCGAAGGCGCTATCTCCTCAGCTTCCTGCCCCCAATGCTCAGGCTAGAGCAACCTCTCCCCCGGACTAGGTAGTCTAAATAACGTAAATACACCGAGACGTTCAGCGGCTGTGTGGCGCAGTGGAAGCGCGTCTGCTTTACAATGTTGAAAATCGCAGACGGCCGCAGGTTCGAACCCTGCCACAGTCAAGAGTTGTCTTTAGGGGGATTTCTTTTTGGGCCGATTTCGTTTTTGTAGGGTGATGTTGTGATGGTTGGATTGTTAGACTGTCTGGGCATCTTGAAATCCCCCTCCACACAAGGATCTTGAATATTCTGGAATCCGCCTTTTAGAAGTATGTACTTAAAATATCTAAGGTGGATAAAGGTATCATACATTGTAGATGGGGTGGTCTTGACCCTCTGGGTTTACCCTCATTAGATGGAAGAGGTTCTTACAAGGCATGATATCATAGCTATATAGTCTTACCTATGGGGAGGTAAGCAGGGCAACTCCTCTACAAGGCTACAGAGTAATTTAATGCATGAAAGCATGCACAATTAGTTTTCCATTGATTCGACTGTGGACATTGGCTATAGCATGGCACAAAGCATTTGGAAGGTGGACCAAGGCCATTGCGTTACGAAATGCCTTAATTGGCTAGGGTACAGGGTAAATCATGAGGATTGTGTAATCTTTGCTGTAAAAGGCTTTAAAGTTGATGAAGACTTGATAGTAAAAAAAAAGAAAATAAGGTAGATAATATTATGATGCAGGTAAGGGAAGTGAAAGTGATGATAATAATTAAACATATACGAGAAATGATATATTACAATTATGATAAGTTGCAAAACTTCTGCCATTACCATCACGGCCCTATCATCTACCCTGTACCATAGCCAATCAAGGCATTTCATAATGCCACGGCCTTGGTCCATCTTCTAAGTGCTTTGCACCATGTCATATCTTAGATTGTCCTTTGAAATCCTCAAAATCTAACGCCAAAGCTTGATGACTGATGGAAGCTGGGTGTTACACGAGTGATCGTTAGTGATTCCAAATGGACATATGATGTCCATATAAGTTTTTTTTTTTGAGGGATTGGTAATAGTTTGGGTGTAAGGTGGATAAAGAGGCTTTGCTGCCGGGGTTAATGCCGGACGTGATGGAAGTGAGGGATCGCACTTTAGTCGTATGATAAGTTATGTGCTTTTATTAAAACTACCTTTGAAATTACACCCGGATAGTTCCCGGATTCAGGCATCCTCTGGTACTCGTACAGCGGCAATGATGCTTACTCGTACGACTGCCAACTTGGGGGCTAGAATTATACCGCTTACCGCCCGGCCCAAACCTCCCTTCGAAAAAGAGCCCCAATGAACGCTGATGGGGCTCATGTTGTGAAAACTACAGGGGCCAATGTCCGCGAGATATATAGTTGAAGTGCTAGTATATGGTTCCCTCTGGGGGGGTGGAATCAAGTCAGAGATATTTGTTAGTTCAGTTTTTGCTCTACTTTTTCTTTATTTTTTTCTGCCCTCAATCCCGCCCGGTCTGCTAGAGATGATTGGTTGTTCCTGGGCTAATATGTTAGTTTCCTCGGTACGAACGAGATACTGTGCCCCACCCAAGTGCGGTAGTCTGGTAAATTTATTATGAGAATAATTGAAGACGTATATTCGCATCTCAATCACCGACAAAGCACATATGATCCCCCGCCGATATGAACTCGATTGTATGGTTCCCAAATTTATGGAAGCGATGCCTGTTCATGAAATTCCGACAAGTAGTCCTTTGGCGTAGAAAATGATTTCTATACGTCTACAGGAATTCGTCAATTATCGTCTCATACAGGTAGGCCAAAATCAAAGGATTGCCGAGACTTTAACCGAGCTTTGTTGTGCTGTACAGTACATGTACTGTACAGTCATCCGCATCTTCGCCTTACTTGTAATATGCTTAGGTATACGCTAGATACCGTATCTCTTTTACCTACGAGTACAGTACATAAATTTGCCGGTAGTCTAGAGTTATCTCTTCTAACCCATGCCATAAGTTACAACGGGACTTGAGGCGATGAGAAGGGGTAACATTATTGGGCTGCCGACATGGTGGAATTCTGTGCGGAGTCCCCGTCATAAAGGATTGCGTCACTTTTCTCCCCTCAGCTTCTCCTATTCACACAACAAACAACAAACCTATCTACAATTACAAACCATGTTTCCTGACCAACGCCTATTCATTAATGGTACCTTTTCCCCTTCTGTGGAGGAGAATCCCACTTTCTTTACAACGACCAACCCCGCTACAAGCACTCCGCTCGCAAGGGTACACGAGGCTTCACCGAGGGATCTTCAATATGCCGTCGATGCCGCTACAAAAGCATTCGAGACTTGGTCCAGGACAACACCAATTGAACGTTCTCGTATACTTAACAAGGCCGTTTCGATTCTCCGGGCCAGGAGCGATGAAATTGCCGGTGCCGAAAGCCTTGATACCGGAAAGCCGTTCTCTGAGACAAGCACTGTCGACGTACCCACTGGGGCTGATGTCCTGGAATACTTTGCCGGTGTTTGTCTGAGTGGCCTGGAAGGGAAAATGATTCGACTACGGGAGAAGGCATGGGCCTACACTACCAAGGAGCCATTGGGTGTTTGTGTGGGGATTGGTGATAAATTTCCCCCCTCTTCCCTTCCCTCCCCCTTCCCTTCGCCCCAATTTTCTGACCATCTCAACTGTTGACAGGCGCATGGAATTACCCAATTCAAATGTGAACTTTAGTCCATCTCCGTATCCCGAGCTGCTCCGCGTCCCACGCTTCTTGCACATCTCATTTCTCTCCTCCTTTCCTATCCCGGATTCTCGCATGTCCGACATTTCAATTCTGACATTTCTAAATTTCTAGAGCACTTTGGAAGTGTGCGCCTGCTCTAGCAGCTGGAAACACTTTCATCTTCAAACCATCGGAAGTTACACCCCTCACCGCAAACATCCTCGCTGAGGTTTTCACAACTGCCGGGCTTCCCAGTGGAGTATTTAATGTTGTGCATGGAGGCGGGGGTGTGGGGGCTTGGCTTAGCAACTGTTCAGGGGTAGCTAAAATGTCTGTCCTCACCTCTGCATAGCAGCCCTTGCTGACTTAACTGGGCAGCTCGTTCACCGGCCAAGTTGAAACCGGGAAAAAGGTTTACTCTTCTGCTGCCGGCTCGTCGCTCAAAAATGTTACGCTGGAGCTGGGAGGAAAATCCCCGTTCATCGTGTTCCCTGATGCCGACCTCAACCTAGCTGCCGATGCTGCCATGGTTGCGAATTTTTACTCTTGCGGTCAGGTGTGCACCAACGGCACTAGGGTCTTTGTCCATTCTTCCATCAAATCCAAATTCGAGAAGCTTTTACTCGAGAGGGTTAGGGATGGAATTCGTGCGGGAGACCCACTGGACCCCAATGTCAATTTTGGCCCGTTGGTTTCAGAGGGCCATTCTAAGAAAGTCAAAACCTACATTCGGCATGGAGAGGAGGTTGACAGGGCACGCCTTCTCTGCGGTGGGTTGAAGGGAACCGTTTCGCTCCCGGATGGGAAGGGACTCGAAAAAGGGTTCTTTGTTGCCCCCACTATCTTTACCGACTGTAGCGATTCCATGCTCATTTGCCGTGAAGAGATCTTTGGCCCAGTCTTGTCCATCCTTACCTATGAGACAGAAGAGGAGGTTGTCCGCAGAGCCAATGATACGGAATTGGGATTAGCGGCGGGAGTTTTTACCAGGGATATAGATACCGCGCACAGAGTGATCGGGAAGATGAACGCGGGTATCTGTTGGATCAACACCTGGGGAGAATCGCCGGCAGAGATGCCGGCGGGTGGATGGGGATTAAGCGGCTTGGGGTTTGAGAATGGCAGTGAAGCATTGTCTCAGTTTGTGAGAACCCGGAGCGTGCTAGTGGAAAATGGCAGATTCCCGGCTGTATTCTCCAAGTCTTAGATCTCAGGTCTCATTGTCTGGGCTTGTTGTATTGTCTTGTGACAATACAGTCACCCGGATCCAATTCCAAGAGCTGAATTGAAATTCTGGCACGCAATAATTAGATAGACTTATCGTAGGATATGTAGATCGCTGCGGGAGGCTGCCTACGGAATATCAACCGTCGCCACATGGCTACCGTTACTACTACAAACGAAGAACCCTAAAACTCGAAGGCGATCGACAGTATGGCCAGAATGAGGGACTCCCGGTAGGATCATGGATGGAACTTAGGAAGCGCCAAGGCATATTTCCCAACATCCAACCAAAATCTAGAAACCATCCTCTAAATTCTAAATCCCCACCACCCCCTCTCGGCCCACGTCTGAGAATGTAGGAATCTAGGAACATGCACTACACTCGAGTACAAGTATAAGATTGACCAAAAAAGGCTTTTGTCGCCAATTCCTTCACTGATTGAAGATCTTCTCAATGCGAAGGGTAGAGAACTGACAAGCGGCCGCTTGATGCAATGTTGAATCATTTCCTATTCGCAGTCAGTAGTTTTCCTATGGGAAATTTCGTTTGGCTGCAGCGTTCACAATCTAGAAACTTGGACTGTCCTTGTCACCACGGGAGGAGTCAGTGTTTTGAGACCCTATTCTAAATTCCAAACTTTTTAAATTCTAATGGACAGTTCGACCCCATCTATAAAAATTCATGCACCCCCAGGCCATCAATTCCATCATAATACCCGAAACCCCTAGCATATATGCTTGCGCTGTAAACAGCATAGCAGAGCACTCTAAGTCTGTGCTTTAGCGGTGGTGCTTGGAAGAATAGCCCTTCCCACTGCCGTGATCACACTTCTCCTTCTCCTTCTCCTTCTTCTCCTTCTTCTCCTTCTTCTCCTTCTCCTCGCACTCCTTGCAGGACTTGTCGTCGCATTCCTCGCACTCCTCGCACTTGTCGGATTTCTCTTTGTCCTCGCACTTCTTATATTCATCCTCCTCCTCGCAACGGTAGTAGTCCTTTTTGGCGGCCTGTTTATCCTTCTTGTGCTCGTCCTCGTGGTACTTCTTGTTCATGTCACGGTAGTAGCCGTAACATTTGTCATACTTTACCCCCTTATCGAATCCTGTTCATCCACCCACCTATCAGCCACCACTAAAGCTACCAAAAGGGGGAGAAGGAAATACCGTATCCCTCCTCAAAGCAGCATTCCTCATCATGGATCTTTTCATCCTTAGACTCAGCACACTCCTCAAAGTTCTTGCACTCCTCCTCCTTCTCCTTCTCCTTTTCTTTCTTGTAAACCTCGTCCTCCTTCTCTTCACACTTCTTGGAATACTTGTCGTCCTTACGTTTGTGCTCCTCGCTCTCGTGCTTCTTGAACTCGTCCCCATCTTTGCCCTTGTCGTAACCATCTTTGCCCTTGCCGTAACCATCTTTGCCTTTGCCGTAACCTTCGCCGCCGTAACCTTCGCCGCCGTACACATAGTCCTTTCCGTATGGGGGGTTCTTGGGAGTGCGGTGATAGCGCTTCTCATCGTAGTATCCCGGGATGAAGTTGTAGCGCTGTGGCTCCTTCTCGTGGTGCTGGGCGTAGCCGTCGACGTGGTGGTCGTATACCGGAGCTGGAGAGGGGGCTGCGCTTGCAGTGAGAGCGCTCATGGCGAGAAGAAAGAGAGTTGAAGCGTGCATCTTGAAACGAATGAAGTTGTAATGAGTGAAGTTGTAATGAGCGGTTGTGATGGTGATAAAGAAGGTAGTGTGTGATATCGGAAGGCGAAGTGAAGTTGGGCGGTGAGGACGGGGTTTTATAGGAAGTTGTATCGTGCTGTATGTCATCTAATCCCTTAGCGAGTGGGTGATCAAAGGCCTACAGCTTGATACCCTCCGCCTTCATTTGACCGCATAGTCTGTAGACCCTGAACGGCCTGCTATTCCTTAGGACTTTGTTGACGGCGAATATATTTCATCCGTCAGTTTTACAACAAACTTCACAAAAAAACCACAATTCGGACCACAGTCCCAAGCACCCTGTGTTCCTCTTCAGCCGGTCTCTCCAATCCGACCGGCAGCCGCAGCCGGCCTATAGCGAGTGATGTCTAGTGATTATCTCAGTGGTGAGAAAATACGTGCTCAACTGTTTCCGGGAATGACAAGAGGGGTTGTAACAGGGTCTTTTCGTGTGAGAAAAGAGATTGTTCAGGAAGATTCGGCTCGCCCTCGTTGGCATAAGAGATGTTCGTCGACACTTATACTAGGTAGTGACATAACGCCTGCCGTTACTATTGAGTTAGGTGAGCCTGGAGGTTGAAGCTAGGTGCTGGCAGCGGACAGCTTTATTTCTGGTAGGTTCGAAGTCCGTTGCAGGCTTTAGTCCGGCTATGCTATAGGCAGGATTCGGCGAGACTACTGTAATGGCTCTGAGACGGATATCTAGTTTAAGTTGTTAGCCTTTAACTAAGAAGTAAAAACGCTCAGTCGCATCATCCCCCCGCCTGCCAAAAAAAAGCACAAACCCATCCCGATCTCAACGATACCTTAGTTTAAATAAGGTCTAACCCAGGAATCGCCCGCCCCCAACCGCGATTACAAAAACCCCGCCGAAGGGGAAAACTAACCAAGCCAAACACAAGACCCATTATCCCTCCGTGAGAACAAAATCCGGGGTATGATGAGTAGTCCTCCCGAGGCTACTCCCCACCCGCCCCACTCCCGTAACCCACTACGAGTATCATACCGTATCATACGAGTACAACCGCCCCGACCCGCCCCCGACAATCCCCCAAGCCCAACCCCGGAGCACAGCTTCTCCCTAAACCAGCAGTATGTCGGCAGGTTTGCAAGAGGCTGTTTCCGAGGCTAACCCAACAACCCCCTCCCCCCAACAACCAATCCCTAAGCAGTCATAGCCTGCCCGAACACCAACACAACAGCCCAAACCCAGATGGACTTAAAAATCACCAACTTCCCATGACGTCATGCTTCCTCTCAAGCAGAACCATCAACCGCGCGAATCCCAGTCCATCCAGGGATGCGCATATCCCATAGTCTCGGGTTCCAAGTCTCCGCGCAGGCCGTCGAGGGGAGGTTCGGGCTAAGTTATTTTAGACCTTCCGGGGTTTCTACCGTATCAGTGCGGAGGAGAGAGTGGAAAGGGGTGAGCGGGGTTAGGGCGCTGAGAAGGTCGTCTACCGGTAACTTATCCCATAGTGCAAGGAAAAGCAGCCAGAGGCGTGGTTAATATGCTTGAGGATTAGTTTAGTGCGGTAGTTGGGGTGGTAGTCATTGGCCTCAGTTTCACGCGACAACTTGCCAGCGCGTCAGACAAATTCAGTTTTCCGGAGGGGTCACTGGGAGTCAAGGGTTACCCGGTGATGGATCACAGGGGGCCACAAGCAGTAAAGAGACAAACTCAATCGTGCCGTTGGCTTTCTCATGATACGAGTACAGTACTCATACAATTTTAGTCGAGTTTTGTTAAAATGTCTAGATATCGCGACACCGTTCCCCTCGATCTTGGCCTGTGCCATACATCCGGGGAAAGGTACTTGCACACAAAAATCTCGGTCATAGTATGAAGGGTACTGCATTTCAGGTGACTGGAGAAAGTACTTGGCATCACTCCGTTCTGAGAAAGCGGGGGAATCTTTAAACCACCGGTGCTGTGTCCTTGGTGGACTTGGGGTGATCTACCATTATCTCTTCTATTAATTTTTCATTAGGAGCTATCGGGCTTTACTGGGTTGAAAGGCGAAGAAGTTCTTGGTACAGCAGGACTGTTTCCCCCCTGTTATCCGGGGAACTGTATCATACCGGTGCTCGCACTGCCTTCACCGTAGGGAGCATTGAATGGGAGCAGCAGGCAAACATGCCAATTATCTAGCACAATGCTGCTCATTGTTCTGCGTAAAAAATCCCCCTCCTGAGTGGATGGTCGGTAATACAGTGTGATACACACGGGTGACACCTGTACTATGAAACCATGAAATGCACTTCTAGTAGATAGGCCCGGGGGGTCAAGGGGAGAGTTGAAGCCAAGGAATTGATGTCTATCTCACGGGCGCTCCCTGGGCATCCATGTTATCACCGAAGATTTGCGAGTCCCTCCTCGTAAATAGGGTAATAATTCTGCAGTGGGAATTTTCCATGATTATCTTTCACGCACTCCCTAGTAGGCTGTGGTGAATGTTCCGCTGACGAGAGGTCGAAGCTAAAGGCGGAGAAACAAGTAAAGCTAGCGCATACGTTTTACTCTCGTTAACGTTCACTATTCAAGCATAAAAGAGTAGCAGAAGTCTCGGCTACTCAAGCTCGGGGTATATCACAGTAACCTGTCAATCTTGCGCTCCTCCTCCGCCGCCATAACTGCTCGCCACTCTACCAACTCTACTCCTCTTTGGAGCCCCGAATCTCTATCTTAACCTTCTTGATATCAAACTTTGCCCCCTCGAGCTCAATCTCCGCATCTTTAACCTTAATCTTTGCAAAATCCAGCTCCACATTCACTCCTTCCATCTCCACCGTACCTCCTTGCACCCTAACCCTATCCACCCGCTCTCTAAAATTTCCACCTTCATCGCCCTCCTCTTCAGTCCCAGCATCCTTTCTATCACTAGCACCTTCTTTGCTCCCCCTAATCATCTCCGTGAGCACCAGTCCAACACTGTCTATATCAACGTCCAGCCCCGGCTTGTGCGGGTTGCTCGCTTCTTTTATCTTTACCTTTCCTTGCTTTACCTCCTCCTCACTGAGGACAACAGCGAATCGATATGTTGGTTCCGGCATTTCCTTGTGCAGGAACTCAGCCTGTAAAGGTTAACAGGGTCCATCTTTTGAAAGCTGTCAGGGCTCGACCTTAACTCCAGCATCCCAAAGTCGCCTACACACTTGCATTCTCTCCACTAGAAAACTCCCGCCAACAGCCATGACATACGCGTCTACTTCGGTATCCCAAACCTGGCCTGCGGGAACTCTTGCTTTGATGATTCTGAAAATATCCTCCAGTTCGAATTCGATCCCGGTGATTGGGAAAGCAGCCTTGTAGAGATACCCGCTCCATTGGTAATAACTAGCACCAGACGCAATTTCCACGCTATCAATCGTCTTCCCAGATGACTTGATTGAAAGTGGAAGTGTCACAACTTCATACATTAAAGCCGTGCTGAGAAAGTCAGGGCGAGCAAGCGACAGGTCAAAAGCGATCTTTGGAGTGACCCCAAATATCTCTAAAAGGTCGGAGAAGTTCTTCATCTCGTTAATTCCTTTGGAAAACGCAACGTTTTTTGTAAGTTCCTCATCGAGTAGCAGGTCGTAAACCAGATGTCTGCCTCCTTGTTTCTAGTCAGAAAAATCCTGCAGGATAGTTACGCACGATACATACCTGTTTTTGCAACGTAGCCTCCAAGTTTATCAGCTATTGCCTTCCCAAGCTCCAAATCTGTGGTCATCTCTAGGTATACCTGATCCCAAGATGTCTTCGTGCGTTGTTAGAAATCGACCTTCTGCTAAGGCACAGGGCCGAGCCCTAAGAGGGCCATGAATATCCACAGCACTTCACGGAGTGAGGTTTACCTTGCTGATGTTGTTTATCATCTTTGCCAACTTTCGCCACAACTTCTCGGGCACTTGACACACCTCCAACACCCCCTTTAAGATAAGAGAATGGTTGATCTTGATAGAATAAGCCCCCAGCTTGAGCCCGTCCAGGACCTCCATAGTAACCCTCAACATCTCCGCCTCTGCAAGTAGTCCATCAGAAACTCCAAAAACTCCAAGATGACACCTTATCTTCTCCTCCGCGATGCTTCTGCCAAACCCATCTGCGATCCGCCGGTATTCCTTTCCGACCTGATATATCTTCGCAGACTGAGCGCCTCGCAGTGCCAACCACCTGGTGAGTGAATCTCTGAGGGAATATCTCAACGCTGTGAGTTCCCCCCCTTGATCCGCCAGCTTGCAAACCGGAGACTCATCCTGTCCCGATATCATCGGATTTAACAGCTCAAAAATGCTGAAATCTGGTCACTACTCTTGCCCCAGCTCAATACCACTTGTTTGTTCTCGAAAGGAAGTTTGGTGTCTTACGGGGTATCAATTGTTGCCGCTCCATGGCGCTTAAAAACTTCAACCATCGACGATATGATCTTGTCGCGAATTATTATGTCTTTGCCGAACCAGTCGCGTGTGCCCTGTGGGGCCCTCACGGAAAATGTCCTTTTATTGGTAGTATCCATTATCTCTGGTAAAAACGATGGAGTTGATTTAGCACGACTTTGCGATGAGATGGAGATGCGGGGGGTATTGTGTCTCAGCCACGCCGCAAAGCCTCGAAGGTGCCCCCGAACCTGTGACGTCACCTCTCTCTGTGAGGGCGCTTGACCGACCTACCGGTACTAGTACTCGAGTACTGTACTCCGGTTTATGCACCGTAAACTGCTATGTTCAGTAGCTCATCCAATAATACGACTGAATTGGCAAAAAAGAAAAAGAAAAACAAGGCCCCCTATGCAAAAATAACCGCAACGCTTTAACGGAAAACACGAGGTCAACGAACAGGCTGCCCACTCGTTGGCATACGGTAAATTTAGTGCCAGAACAAAATGTCACTAGAGGCCACTAAATATCACAATACATCACTCGTTAGGAGCGCATCACCGCTTTTAAAATATTATGATACCCTTGCATCCATTTGCACTCAACAGCAGTGTAGAGCATGAAAGCCGATCTGTCTATTTCGGTTCCAGTAGTCTACCCATAGCAAGTTTCCCCATCCCTTCACTTTAGAGTGTATACTCTCCGGGGGAAATGCATCCGAGAGGGTCAACGCAATTCCCGACCTCGTACAAAATATGTTGGATATTTTGGTTTCAAATTCTTCCAAGATCTCAAATAGTCATCCACACAATCCCCTAAGGCAATCGGGGTAGTTAATATCTTTTTTGGTTGTTCTTGTCGGCGATACAGCAAGAGCCCTAGACATATGGTTTGCACTAGGTCATTTGTAGTATTTCCATGGGTCATCTGTTATGAATCACTGTCTATTGAATCGAACGTGATCCTCACGCCTTTGCAAACATTGGGAGGTTAGACCAAGCCTGATTCCTCTACCACCCTTGGCCCCAGATGCGCCTGGCGTGGCCGGGGTCACCGGCGCTCACAGTTTGTCCAATCATATCCTCGGATTGCTAACGCCTAAAGTTCATCCACCACCTAGTGGCCTGCCTTTGCTCTCCATTAACTTACACGTACACCAAAACGGGTGATGTTTCAACTGATACAAGAGCTCTTCAATGGTAAAATACTACTTGTACTATAGGAAACCCCAAGCCCCACTCGCCCCATGACAAAACACCCCACGCCCGCTATGGTATCTCATTATAAACCCCGAAACCTTACTTAATGCTAATACGTCAGGACATTCCCACACATCCGTTAACCCAGTCCCGGGCACCCTTCATCGGAGGATTGAAACCCTTTGTGTCCTGATACCAGCAGAACCCCCAACAACAGTTCTCCGTGGCGCAATTGGTTAGCGCGTTCGACTGTTAATCGAGAGGTTGGAAGTTCAAGCCTTCCCGGGGAAGTTTATTCTTTTCTTGCACCCAGCTACCCCCACCCCCCTCAGGGCCCTCTTATCCGGCCATTTCACAAGAATTTTAGAGAATAGGTTCGGGGGTCTCTTCCTCATCGCGGATAAGAGTTTGCCCTAACCTACCAAAACATTCTGCTAATCCAGAAGTTGTCCGAACTGAGCCAGCCCACCTATAACAGGAAAATTCCAGTGGGTGCCATATGATAAGCTGACAAGTAGAATTATTCCTTAGGTTGTCTACCGCAAGTGCTATCCGGGCTGCGAATTACCACCACCAAGCCACCTGAAAGCTGAGAAGTGCTCTGTTAACAGTCAAAGCTACAATCAGAAACTCGAAGCACTTGCTGCATGGCCCCAGCGCGGGCCCGCAAGAAGCCATATTCTGTCCAACGATCCATCGCAACACACGCTCTCTCCCACTCCACCCTTTCAACATCATCTCGAGAAATATTTTTAAATAAATTTACCAAGTATTACTTTCAGCTATGTACTTACATTTTTTATTTTTACTTCCACTACCATGATGGTGGGGTTGCTTGGAGAGCGTGGTTCCAATTGCTGCAGTTTTTTCTGGTGCGCTAGGTGCGCGGTTAATTTTGGCAAGGGACTATATAGACATTGGAGAATCGCCAAAGGGGCTTGTACAGTACTCCCTCTAAGGAATGGTCGGGGTACGAATATGATACCGAAAACATTAGAATTTGCTTCCCGACGCCGAGGAGCATCACTATTTCATTTTCCCACTGACAGACCCGATTGATTACTTTTGTCAAAAACCGGAAACATTCACGAGTGATGACACGTGACTCTCCATTTTCCCGACTCCTCGGAAACATTGAACCGCTCGACTCGCGGGAGATGTACGGGCGGGAGAATTGGAAACTCATCTTGGGATAACGAGATCGATAGCTACCCACCTTCCGCTAATGTTCCCGGAACCCCCAAAGTAGCCCGGTACTGTACTGTACAACTCCAGGAGGAATCTATTTATCATACAAATTCACACCCGCGTGAACTCCGAAACCCTCGGTGCACCTCCTAGGAGAACGAGATGCCCCCTCCCCTTCCCCGCGAAAATCACCACCGTACCCTCCTAACCAGTGGAACGCCCCGGGGCGGGAGAGGGGATACAAAGAAGGCTTTTCCCCGGGAAGGCTTAAACTTCCAAGTCGCTCAATTGAAAGTCGAGCGCGCTAACAATCTGGGCCGCGGGGAATCGGTGCCTGGATAACGGTTTTTTTTGGGGGGGGAGGGACACTCAGGGATTGTCATGCACGATCGGATCGCAGGAGAAAAAAAAAACCCCCGATTTCTAAAAAGTCTCTGCGGATATTACCATATTACTGTATATTTGTATGATAGCGTTTTTGAAGGCCTCTCAAACCCCAGCTCCGGCTATGGTTGAATCAATACCCCGTGTGTGTGTGAATGTGGGTGTGAGATGTTTCGGAAGATCTTGACTGATAGCAGATAGAGCGCTTGCGCACTGAGTTTGATTCTTTGCGCAGCATTTGGCCCTACCGCGCCGGTGATCCCCAGTCCTGGCAAACAGACTAGCCCAGCCTCATTACAGCCCTGGAACTAACTTAATCTTGCCTGTAGTGCGCAAGCTCTCCAATCACAGCTTTCTCGGCGAAATTGGCATCATGTCTATTCAAATCCACAATCTATCGGCAAGACCAGCTGAACAAAAACAGTCTCTCATAAACATACAGGTAAAAAGCGTATACAAAACCCAACGCAACCCCCCTCGCCAGTGATCCAATCAACTAACCGAAAATCTCATCCCAATATTTCATGAATTTATCCCTATTTATCATCATAATCAGCACGATACACAGTTTCGATAGTGAGGGAGGGGGGGAGCGAGGGGCTTTGGCGGCGACCTACCGGGGCGGCTTTGGAAAGTAATCCCTATCGTACTGATCTATCTCCTCCTTATCCTGTAATAAGTCTATGTCTTCGGACCTCCGCCACTTTGTCTTGTGTGTGATTTTCCAGCCGACAAATAGCGCTGGCACAATTATGATCATAGTGTATGAGAATAAGAAAGTGGGGATGTCCCAGTTCCCCGGGAGGAAGACAGTGTATCCGCCAACGAAGCACATGATCGTCGTAGCAGCGAAGGAGTACCAAGCGCAGTAGGGTTGTAAGAATCCCTTATGCGGTAGTGAGTCGCGCGGGATTCCTTGCGCCTTGAGTCCCTTCATGAACTTTATGAAAGTGAAGGTCATGAAGGAGAAGTTGATTAGTTGGGAGGCGGTAACGAGGTTAACAAACCATTGGAGGACTACGGCCGCACTGTTGGAGACTTGGAGGAACGATAGAAGGGCGATTGCTAAGACAACCGCTACGGAGTATATAGGCACACCGCTCTTTGTGCATCGTGCTAATACTCTAGGTGCCTTGCCTTCCAGCGCTAACACCCCCATAGATCGTTAGATAAGATAGGGATAGGATGTCACAAGCCACCCACCAAGCCCATATAGACTCCTGCTAGCGCAGTATACATATGAATTTCCCGCTGAGAATGCCGAGGTCAAAACCAGCGCATTAACAATATGTGGTAGAGTCGGGATCCGCAGGCGGTCCATCGCAATTACATACGGCGAAGCAGCCGCTCCTGGCTTCCCTTCCCTAAACGCAGCAGCTAGAGCAGGGTCGTTGTATGGGACGACAATTCCGACAGCCAAAGAGCCCATAACGAAGAAGAAGGTAAGACGGTAAAAGATTGCCTTAAAGGCTCTCGGGAGAACAACTCTCGGGTTTTCCGCTTCTCCTGCTGCCATGGATACATAGTCTGGACCGGCAATGGTGAAGGATGCCTGGATGAGACATGCGAGGAAACCGAGAAAGCGACCTAAATCACCAGTCTTGATATTCTCTGCAAATGGTCCAGGGTCCCTCCAATACCGAAATCCGTAACGATCCCCTAGCGGGTTTCCGCCCAACATGGTCACAAAGGTAAATGCGATTAAGCCGAGGATAAGGATGACCTTTCCGAGGGCTAACCAAAACTCAGATTCACCGTACCATGAAACGCCGAATATGTTGATGATTCTGTCGTAGAACAGCGGTCCGTTACGGTTCACCTTTTAGTAGACCTTTCATTGTGGAACGGGGAGGGGGGTCCGCTGGGAAAATCTTCCGGATAAATACAGTTCGGGAGAACTCACGCATAGCAGAACAGAACAACGGCGATAACGATTCCCACATGAATCTCATCGGTCCAATAGTGGATAATAACGTTGCAAGCAACTATTTCGAATGGCACAAGGGCCGCTTGATAGACGAAAAAGTTGTACCCGGCAGCGAAACCAAAAGCATCATCCACGAAACGACCAGCAAAACGAATAAATGGTGAGGATATCGGCAAATAAGTGACCATTTCTGACATGGAATTGTTGACGCCTAGAATCACTGTACACCTAATTCTTGCGTAAAAATGTGAGAACCACATTTCACGATCCGAGCCTGGCTAGATTGCCCGCCCCTTTCAAAAGATCCAATTCGATCCCAACGGATGGGTCTCTCGTAGAATTTTTCGCCAGGAAGCCTGTTCAGGGGTAAGGGGAAACATGGGTCATTTGCAGAGCGATTCCACGATAACACCACGTTCAAAACCGACGGGTGGATAGGTGGGTAGGCAGACAAATAAATAACGTACCAAAATGTGAAGGCAATAAACAAACTTGCCGGTCCACCCTGCATCAGTCCTCTCCCAATAGAGACATAGAGAGCCGTTCCGATGGTCCCCCCAATACCAATCAATTGAATATGCCTTGGTCTGAGTTTTCTATGGGTATGATCAAAAGTCGGTGGTGGCGACCCTGTTTCTTCTTCAGCATCATAGATAAAGGGCCGCTCGTCCTCTCCCTCAGTGTCCATACGCTCACTAATGGAGCTGCGCGTAGAAGAACTCTCGCCCGTGAGCCGCTGCTCTGGCATCGAGGTGCAATCTCCAGGGCTAAAAGAGGATGAAGATGCCATTTTCGCGAGTGAGAGAGGTGAGAGTGTCGTAAGTAGGTAAGGGGGTGAAAGGATGGGTAGTGTTATCAAAAATCAGAAACCCTACTCGAGCAGGTTCTCAGGACGTTGTAAGCGAAGCAGCGGAGTATGAGCCCCGATTTAAGTTACGATAGCACAAAGCTAAGGCCAGAGGCTCAAGCGGGGGGGACACTATCATCATCACATGTCAGCCCTAACACGGGGGAGGAGACAACGAACAGTGGGACGGCGAACAAATGCCGGTACCGGTACTCAAGTACTCGTTACTGTATCATACGCCAAAAAATGCGGTGGCAAAAACATGAAATCTGGTGCTTGAGTGCCGGTACAAGTATGATGGGGCTGTTCTTCGTCCCCCCCCCTGTTTATTATACTCGAGCGCCGACAATCTCCTCCATCCCTTGGGCCGTCTGAGACAGTAAAATTCGCGCCCAGGCACACCTAACCCAGGTCAGTCGACCGCCAACAATTTCGGGTCTCATGATGAATTCCTTAGCGATCCTTAGTTGCCAGAACAGGATCATCCCTCGGGGAGGTGAAACAACGAAATTCAGTGGAGCCAAGAATTGCGCAGGGGTGGGGTCCAAGACATACAATGAATAAGCAGCCTCATCGAGAGTTGAACCCAGAGAGTGACTTCAGCGATACCGCTGGGTCTAAGGTATCGTACTCGAGTACTCGGGTACCGGTAAGTCAGTCTACTGCACCGGTACGAGCACTAGTACTTGTACAGTACTTGGCAACCAACCCCCGATCCCATTCCCCGCCGATGGCGCAATTTCTTGGCTGCACCGAGTTCCGTCGTTTCACTCCTCTACTCTAGTAAGGGAGACCGGTAGCGTGCCTGATCACGAATTTTAAAGCTTTAGACCGCCCAATGGATACAAGTACCCGATATGTACTGTACCGGTATTTCCTTTCAATCCCCGTGGACTTATGTCCTGGGATAAGTACAACACCCGTATCAAACCGGTACAATAACGCCCGAAGAAGCCGTGCGAAGGCCCCACGCTTAACCCCACACAGCAGATGGTTCCCATTTTCGATAGGGCGAGTGCTGCCAAGCTGTCTGAGCTGGAGTACGTCGTTTCACCCCCATAATACGACCAGCAAGCCATTCTGCAAGGGTATTTTAGGGGGGTTGAGAAATACAGTAGCCATCTATCGAGTCAGTAATAATCTGGTAATTGTGGGGCGGACTCGAACTTGTCCAAGAAATCGTTAGGATACGAGTAGACTAACCTTATCGTAGCAATGAAATCCCTGTCGCAGATGCGCCCCGGCCCACTGTCTTGTTTGGAAATGATGGATTAATTCCTCGGGGTCACAAATTCCATTGGCCGAGTCACAGTTGAGTGACCGAAACCATACTTTCATGAGCTTAGTTCCTAAGGGTCGGAATCAAAAAAAATGCCCACTAAAAGGTCATGAAACCAGTGAACAAACAAAGAGATGCGATCCCAGACAAGCATGGTGGTATACAGTACAGTACCAGTACTCGAGACTGGTACAGGTATGATACCGCTGCTAACCCTAGAAAACCTAGACATCAAGATGAGAACACCGTTAACTGAAACATTTGGTATCATATCATACCTTCCAGGAGCGCCAGACCCATCAACGAGAAAATTCAACCAATATCGTATCATATAAATCTATGATACGGTGCTGTAGAACGAGTAGGTAAATGCAACAATCTAGAAGACTCAGTAGGACCTGCTGCGCTCCTTTCTCCCTTGGACCCTATCCCCTCCCTCCTGTCGACCACAAAGCATATGATACCTGCAAGGCCGGACGGAATGGGGAGAAGAGGCAAAAAGTAAAGGGCGAAAACAGGGTCAAAAATATCTCTGTCTTGATGGAGGGTTCAAAAGAGAGCTCCTTGCGAGATCTCCACATCACCTAGAGATGGGTATTATTTGGAGCGTTTTCGCAGCCGACCTAGATGGGATTTATGAGTGACGCTGTGAGAGGTTGTCGCTCACATCTGGAGTCCATAACACCGACGAATATCGTGCTTCTTGAACCCTACCATTTCGAGGGGCCATGCGGTGACCGGTTCCCAAGTGTGATATCTCGCAACCACTCTTGTTAAAATTATGCTTAAGGAGTGCGACTGCTGGGCCATACCCTGATGAAAGCAAAAAATATATGTGGTATGAGTTGGTATTTAAGGTCCCCAATTCCAGGTCTGGTATGATATGATACGATATCGTGGCTTTTACACCTTGACCCGGTGGCCACACCCCGCTATTAGCCCGTGCCAAAACCACCCGAGTCTGCGCAAACTCTCTCTTGGGCAGCAGGTGCAAGACTACAAATAAAGCAACTCCCTCGAGACCCCATTGAGCACGCGCTAGTATCTTGTAGGTCGCTTGGGATTTTCGCACTGGATAGGCAAGGCGCGTGAGTCTGGGATACCGATAATACAATAGACATCCAACTATTGAGGATCTGATGCAGGACGAGTGGCTTCAATTAGACCTAGCCCGCATACCTTAAAATCATACTATGTCACTCGTGCTCAAATTATTCTTTTTACTCCTATCGATGCAGGTGGTCTTAGATCTCCGTTGCCCCGTACTCCACTCGAGAATGCCAGTCTTTCTGGATTCGTCGGCCACGCCCGGTGATATTGTAGCTTACTCTACCATCTCATTCTACACCCCTCTTGTGCAGTTGCCATTAACCGAGTTCTTGCCTGGCCGAGTCCTCCTGCAGGCGTCCCACACCAAAAACGAGTTTTTTTTTCCAAGGAGGAGGGTGAGCCCACCACGGGCGGCACTCTCGCAGCTCTCCTACCAGTAGAGTATAGCATTCGGTGCAAAACATTACCCTCATACCATCAGTGGCCGAGAGACTTCAAGAAAACACTTCAGCAGTGCAAAAGACAAGTATTTTGGTATTAAAGTCTTCATGGCTTAGTTGGTTAAAGCGTCGGTCTCATATCTTCTAGATGTGACTCATTTTCAGAGTGGGATATCCGAAGGTCGCGAGTTCGACTCTCGCTGAGGACATATACTTTTTAGCTACAAATGACTTGCGATTTTTTAAAAATTGCTAGCCCCGGGAGAGAGTTATACAGCCCCCCCCCCGCGCACCGGCGGCGGGTAGATAATATCTGCGGAGTAGATTTTGTTCCTAGAGAAAATATATATAACTCCACGGAGGATGGTTCTGATGCCGAGTGATTATATTCCGAACGTAATTTATTTGTGACGATGTAATATCGACTCCACTGGCTATTGCACACACCACTTGCAGCCCATAGCCTAAGCGCAAGTGGAGTACGAGGATATCGATAAGTGGAAAAGAAGTGGTTGTGGTTGTGGATGGGATCGCGTCTAACCTCTCAAGTCGAGCGTTTTGAGTATAGTAGCCAAATACCGATACTCTACACTTGTGGGTTTTTAAATGCTACTTGCACGCTTTCATCTGATACCTCTAGGTTGTAGCGTATTTTGAAACCGAGCTCTTGCCTTTGCCGATCCATAATGTTAGGAACGAAAAAAAAATAGCATTTCTTGAGCTTATTATGGGGCTTACCAGCCATATAGAACTACTCGAGTTCAGTGCTGTAGTCTCGTTCTTTCGCAACTGGTTCCTTACACGGTTAGTTACTTTACCGTACTTCCTTCCTTGCCCCTCTCGTCGTTGGACCGTCATTTCTTTTTTCTCATCTCTTCAGCATTTGCTCTTTCAACATTAACTCCACACCCTATTAACTATGGTATGCCTCCTTTTTTCATTCCAAACTCGTTTTCTCTTGCTTCTCTTGCTTCTCCTTGCCTCTCATATGATATTATAGGGCCGATCTTGGCCTTTGCTTTGTTTCTTGTTTGTGTTCCTTCCCTTATCCCTCCTGGATCGGGGATATAAACCTACAGGAGTCCATGTATCATATCATAATCGAAAATCAATTTATCTCTCTCTCTCTCTCGTACTCACTAATGGAGTTTCCGAGTGATACCCTATGAATAATCCAAACATCAACATCAACATCAAACCTCCAAAACAATTTAAAATAATATCAAGACCTCTATCAAATCCAAAAAAAAAACCCCTACTCCTCGTCTGGAACCCCGTTTACCCTTTTATCTTCCGCTTCCTCCTCTACGCATCTTCTACACACGCATTTGCCGCCAAGGCTGCCGAAGGCATCCCGCTGACGGTCTTTGTATTCCATCCGCACGTCACAGTAGTGCGTCCAGCACTCATCTCCCTTCTTGACTGCTACAATTGGGGCCGCAGATTCAGAGGGTTTCTTATGTCGACTGAAGCCGGTGAACTTGACCTCGCTCTCACATTCCCAGGTCACAGTTGGCTCGCAGGAGTGGTTGAACATGGAGTAAAGAGCATGGACCTGGCAATGGCAAGTTAGTCGCGGGCGGAATGATCTGGAAGTGGTGGGGGAAGGGTGGTGCATACAGCTGCAAGTTCGGTTCTTCTAGTCTTCGAACTGATCCGCGCGCTAGCGACGGATATAAACTTTGCCCTGACAGTCTGCATAACCCACAGGTCGAAGAAGTCAAGGTACTTCGGGTCGAATATGTCCACGTCCATTTCCTGGAGCATCTGTATAGGCTGGAGGACCTGATGGGTAAAGTTGAATGGTAGGGCAATAGCCGGAATGTGTTTTAGTGGTGGGCGGGAGACGCCGTATAGGTATTTCACATCGGGCAGTGCAAGGGGATGGACATCTAGGGTGAGAGCCATAGCGAATGTCTTTAGAAGAAGCAGTGAGTACGCAGAATTGGAACTTGCCGTAGCGTTAACATCGCGATACAGCCACGTAAAGTCCCTCCCGCAGAGCGCGGGATGATAACTATTTCGCCAAGAAAAATCAGATTCTGGGAACATCGAATGCCCTTATCCGGTCGCGGAATACCTCTAATCACCTTTTGAACGCCTTCTGCCTGCACTCTTCCGAGCACCACATAACGCCGCTGTCTTCGTCCCCCTCCCAACAGTCGTCGCAGACTTCATACTGATCCGGCAGATTCCCACCGCAGTACTCGCACAGGCTAGAATTCTCAGGATCAGCAACGACCGTTAGAGGGGATGCCTCGCTGAAGAAGGTCTCGCCTAGGAATATATCCTCCTTGGCATAGACTCCCAGATGCTTATCCGAGGATCTATCACCGTCACCGGCAAACGACAGATCTCTCTGCAGGACTGGCAAGTCAACGACTTTGAGCTCGGCTTTTGCAGAGCACTTAGCCATCGCGGCATTGAGCACTTCCAAAGTTTTGTCGGAGAAGCGGTCCGGCTCCATGTTGTTCCAGGGGTAAACTTCTCTTCTCCATTCCCCCTCACGGAGGGTCGCCTCTTTTCTGGGGGTGTGGCTTTATTTTGTTAGCCTTTCGCCAGGGCCTGCTTGGGGGAACCCACTTAGGGAGAATTATGGGGCGGTCACCTACCCCGGGACTTCGAAATTGAATTCTGGATATCGTTTTGTTCCGATTTCTTCGTATCTCATGGAGTCTTCATGGCAGTCAATTTCTCGGAGCGCTATGCTGAGGCAGGAGAAGGTCTTCGCTTCCATTTCCGCTGCCAATATCACCAATAAGCAACATCTTCGTAAAGGGGGCGATGCAATTCCCAACCTATCTCTGGGGTAATCTCCTCGTCGCACTCTCTGGCCATGTCAACGAGCAGTAAAGCCCTGTAGGCATCTCCCGCCGCCAGGTCCGGAAATGCCAGCCTCAAATGAGCTAGCGATCGCTCCAGATATGCAAGGATACTGTGGGGCTCGAGCATCAGGACTTCGGTGTAAAGTTTTCGGGCACGAACACATTCTCCTTTCAAAGTTGCTGATCTGGCCTGCTCAAGCAAGGAGTCTGAGCTCCGCGACTCAGGGTACGCGCCCGCGAGGGCTGCGTCGGAATCGCGCATATGCATCTTGAGGGGATATCTGGGGTTTTTGGTCAGGGGTGGAAGAAGAGGGTGGTGGAGGGTAATCGCGTTGAATTTAACACCCCACAATTTGAGGCTCTTCCGCTTGCACGAAACTACCGGTATTCTGCCCCTGGTATTCATCATACTCCAGCACAGTGCTGGTGCACGGGTAGCGCAAGTCCAAGTGTGATTATCGTAAAAAAAAAAACCTAACACATAGTCTAATATACTATACTCGAGTACTCGAGCACAGAACAACCAAAAACGAGCGAGCAATAAAAATGCATCTCCTGTCAAGAAGCCTTAGAGAAATGGGAGAAATATGTTCCTGAGTAATTAGGATATTGAAAACCGATCTTTCAACCTCAGACTCCCGACAAATTCTCTTGTTCTGTTGATATCTTAGGTTTTACCAGAGTTTCCGGAACACCTAGTTTAGATTATTGCTCTGGCTTTCTCGAGAGCGGCATCATTTGGCCGAGCTGTCTAGACGGCCTCCTAGTGTCAAGAAAAAAACAGCAAAAAACAACTTCCCCGGGAAGGCTTGAACTTCCAACCTCTCGATTAACAGTCGAACGCGCTAACCAATTGCGCCACGGAGAATTGATGCTTACAAAGTTATAAATATCCACATGGTCTACACTTCCCATGGTTTGCCCGAAGCTGTGTGACGGTAATTTCTCTCTTGCCCCGCATGATCTCCCTCTGCAGCGGACCGTAGCAGCGTCCGAGGGATGTCAACCGAAATACCGTAAAAACTCCTGAAATCCACTCTCACCGCCGACCTTTCTGAGTCAATAGCTCCTGGGAGGGACTAGCATTTTCTCGACAATATAAGATCTGCCTACTGATGTGTTGAATCTCATTAACCTGCACCGTAAAAACTCGAATAGAAGATAGATGGGCTAGGATGTTGGAATCCTTCTTTTACAAGTGGAGGTAACTATAGTACTGGTGCGGTAAAATGTCCTGGCATATTTATCTCCTGTTCGAGTCTTTACGGTGTTCGCGGCCTACTAAATTAGACCTGCCGCGGGCTGATGGGGTGATGATATACCGTAATGGATTATAAGAGCTTTTACGGTAAATGGCGAAATCGAGTGCCTTATCTCACGTGTAGACTAAACTCATCCCAAATCGCCTGTGATTAGCGTCATCTTGCAATGCTTATTCAAGGAGCTCGTACTCTCAGTGGTGCGGAGTGGAATGGCCAAGGCTCTCAGGGAACAAGGGTATTGGGAAGACATTTGAGTTCGACAGTACAAATGATACCCTCCGAGCTACGAGAATTGATTAAGTTAATGCTAGTAGTCGAGATATTGGGAGTGAGTTCATATCCGGTGGCGGGGTGATTTCACCATGGCCCCGCTACAAAGATGCTTTCCTCCGCCATCCGAAGGCACCAAAATGGAGGATTATTTGGAGCCGTCAAACCCTCCACCAATCAGCCTCATGCTTCCACGAGCATGGGAACATTAGTTCCAGGGTCAAATCATCAGAAAGAGAAATATTTTTCCAGAGCTCAAACTCCAAAACAGGGATCCCCGCGCAGAACCATTCAAAAACGTTCCGTTGGCCAAAATGTCTGCTTGCCATGACTAGATCACCTTTCTGCCCAATCGCCAACGTGGGCGAATCCTCAGAGAAACTAATTTTTATTCCCGCCGCGCGAGCAGACTTTTTGTGACAGGACCTCAAATACTTCCGGGCACCATCCCAAGAAATCCAGCCCTCCCCGCACCACCAGGTCGAAATTTCTCACAAACCCCCACCCTGCCTGACACTTCTACCCACAAGTCCACCCGCTGAAAGAGAAAACAATAAATTTTGTTACACCACCATCCCGAAACCAGAGGATGAGATGGTTCAAAGGAAACCGAAGAAGGAAGGAACAGAAGCGAAAAAGCCAAAATCGTCGATTCAGATTCCGATCCTAGTCTTACGCCAATGTCTCCTCTTTGCGTTGTACCTGCGCCATGGGAAAGAGTAACCAAGTTAGCGAAATATGCAAACAACCGTAAAACGAGCGGAACGGGGCGGGAGGGAAGTGGTAGTTACCGGATGGTGTTTCCGGTTCGGAGACGAATCCACTGGGGAATTGGGCGGTTTTGCTTCTGAGCTTTGGCAAGCTTTTGCTTGGTGCGGAAGGATTTTTGGCTCTGTTTCTCGCGGAGAGAAAAGTCAGTATCATCGTCGACTAACCGAATTATAGTGGAGGCGATAAAAAATGGGGCATACATACAGGCATGGCTATGCTTTTCGGTTGTCTCTTGCTCTGTCGTCGTGTTGGATTTCGTTGTGGTTGTTGACTGTGGTGGAGGCATAGTGAATTTGTCGATGTTATGATAATATGTGAGTGGTGCGTGCTAGGGTTGTGCCCTTCTGAAAGCAGTCAGGATCAAAAGAACACTTGGCGCAAACCACATGACTCTTAACAGATTGAACCCAAGCTACGCCACCTGCCACAACCCCCGCCACAAATTGAATTCATAGAGGCATCATACTGTACTGTACTCGAGTAATTATCAGGTCATTAGGAACGGTCAGCTGTCAGCATGTCCTGTCTCGTCTCATAGAAACAATATTTTGTCTTGATATCTGTTTTTTTTAACTTGTCGGCAATTTGGTGTGCCCCTAATTACCCGATGTTTACAGTATAATACTGTGGTTCATACTACTATGATACCACAAAAAAGGAATTCCTACATTTTGTCCCCAAACAATTGTTCTGTCAGCATGGATTGTCCCAACCCTAGGCTAGACACCTGTTTTTTAGGTGCCGGCAATTGGGGGGTGTCCCTAATGACCTGATGATTAGAGTATCATAATATGATGCCGGTAGAGGGATTTCGGAGCAAGTACCAGTAGTTCGCCTAATTTTAACTTGTTGCAATGACAATAGGCCACATGTTTTTAGTGTTAGCGTCTCGCTTAAGAGATATCATAACATGCGTGAAGATTCCGAATTCTCTTGGTGGGGTATGATAATATTATGAACAATATCGTTTAACCCTACTCGAGCACAGGTAACTCATGTTGCAACAAGCAAACATCACAGATCCTGGATGAATCTATGGAATCCCTATTTCTTAAGCCCACTTGTTGCAACAGTAAACACCATTGTCACAGAGATAGTGATCCCTAACTTTGCGTTCCGAAATCGCTCTAGGAGAGTAGAATCCCGTTGTGCGGTCTGTCGTTTTGGGAGGCCTTGTGTTAGAAAGCTAGATATGCGGCTTGGACTACAGAAAACCTAGAGTATTACTGAGCTTATTCTATACTATTTTTTTTAACCCCCATCTCCAACAGGGTGAGATACCAAACTGTTTTAAGGACTTTCGAGGATAGGCTACTATACAAAAGTTTTGCTTTTGACGAAACCTACGAAACGGCCTACCATCTGTTCCCCCCCGGGTCTCTTTGGGCTAGCGGCATTTGCCCTTTCTCCTATTATCATGCACCGGGGTAGCAGTAGCACTACCGTATGATACAAGAACACCCACCCAGAGAAACCCAAAATCATTTTGGGTGGGGTTCAAGACTGCCCGGAGAGCGGAGAATAGGGTACTACCTATTTTTCCCACTTCCCAAACCTTCTATCTTTTGTGACAACATTTGCGGGAAGTGGCACCAGCGGTTTAAGGTAAGGCCGGGGCTTTCAAGAGAGATCTTGGGATCCTTTGGTGAGGGCAGAATAACTGAACACATTTTATCACTCGCCACTAGGATGCGGGGACTTCTTGCGATTATGGGATTGTTATCGACGAGTAAGGGAGGAATTGGGACTGAACAATTTCTCAATCGTCTATAGCACCCGCAGTGCCCCTATATAGGCTGTCCTTATTCGGAGTCTCATAAACCTCTGAACACCAGTCCAATAGCTCATGAGTCATGACGAGCTCCCAAATACTAGCCTGATTATGGTACCATATCCCGATATTCCAACGGGACTTGTTAGAGGCCCTACACGTGCCGGAGATTGAAGGAAAAGTGGCGTGGAAGGATATGTGGAGTAGCATAGATTGAAAGTAGGGGTGCTATATTCTTGATCGCTTGATAGATGCATGTGCCCAGGACCGCCCTGATGCACTTGCACCAATGGGGGATTTCTATATCCATCAAAATTACTAATATCTCCCGGGCCTTGACCCACCAGGTAGTATGGCAGGTAGCTAGGCATCTTCATAACTTCAATCACATTGAAATAATTCTTCTGACAGGCCTGGTTCAGAGGACATGACATCTGTGTAGTGGGATAGTATGTCGTGGCGGTTGGCTTATGCAACTTATGAGGCTTGGCGTGAGCAATGCGCATTAAAATCTGATTGATACATTGTGGGATTACATTTCCGGGTTAGGTTTAGAGTAATCTATGTAGCTCGATCCTTGGGGAAATCTCCATTGTGCTGAACTTTAACGCCTCCCCCAAGTTAGGATAACAACCTACCGTGGATCCTGTCTTGATGGCAAGCTTATCTGCGCCCCGGTTATCCGGCTGCCAACAGAAATACACTGAAAATACCAGGAACAGAGAATGTTGGCTCGAGTAAGCAAAGACAGTGCAAAGGGAAGTTCTCTTGATACACATCCAAGGGTCCGATATAACAAATTCTTTTGCTGTGGATGCCTCTTGAGGGAGCACCCTTAGAATACTGATGTGGTCGGTGGCCTCTAGATAGCCCCTCCGGGGGGCAACAGTTCTCATTCTAATTTGCTTTCTAGACGTGTTTATCCCCGAACTGGAGGTGCCAATTCTGCTTGAAACGATGCATAAGGGCTTCCTGGCTCAATACTGACAGAAATAAGGAGAGGGTCAGCGGGATCAATCTGATCAAACTTGGGTATAATACCAATACCCATGCGCCTGCCGACCGGGAAAGGCAAAGTGGCTGACTACCTTTACCCAACATAACCCGCAGTGGACGCTCGGAGCCTGTGGCGGCTGCCGCTCCTCTAGCAATGATAAATATGGACATAGTAGCTGGGCGCTGATGGCAGTGGTG